GCACTTCCTGCTCCACTCTGAGGTGGTGTCTGCATTAACAGATTTAGAACATAATTGACTTCCATACGTTGAACCCTGAAGAGAGACAGCAGCTCCACCCGCTGCTTAACATGGACCTGCCCCCCACAGCCTGAGGGTCTCCACCACCACAAGACCCCTGAAGTAGGTATTAATATATAAAGTAACTGTATTTGTAGAATGATATTGGAATTGTGAAAACTTGTGTATTTATATGTGTGATGTTATGTAAACTGCTTTTTTCTCAAGACAGTAAAACATTGAATTAAAATTGATAAAAAGAATGAAAGAACGAAAGAAAGAAAGATAGAGGGGGAGAAAGAGAAAAAGCCATAGAGAGAGAGAGAGAGCGAGAGAGAGAGAGAGAGAAACTTCCAAAAGAAAGAAAGAAAACAAAGAGTGAGAGGAGGAATGAGAGAAACAGAGAGTGACCTCTGTCTGAACCCACTGCTGAACTTCTGCCTCAGTGTACTCCAGTTAACCTGTCTCACACACACACACACACACACACACACACACACACACACACACACACACACACACACACACACACACACACACACACACACACACACACACACACACACACACACACACACACACACACACACACATTGCCAGGAGGCACAGTTTCAGCTATAATGGAGCAGGAGGATAATATGTGTGTTTCCAGTTCAGCTTTGGAAGTATGAATGGGAGCTGATCCCAGCATTAGTCATGTCAGCACTAGCTCCTGGCTATCCCCTCCCCTGTCTCTCCCCCCCCCCCCCACACACACACACACACACACACAAATACATAAGCATGCATACACACAACAGCACCAGCGGTGAAGTGGATTTTGAAAAGCGAACACGTCACAATAGAGGAAACAGAAACAGCGCCTCAGCTGCTGATGTCATTTGGACTCAGTTTATTCAAAGAAATCATTGGTCATCTTTCATAAAGTATTGGAAAAATGATGAATCATTGTTGTAAGAAGTTTTAATCAGAGCTGGATGAGTTTAGTGTAGAAATGAGTGAACAGACACATTGCAGAGATCTGTCATATCTCAGGTAGTTTGAAAATGCATCAGATGAGACAAAATGACACACAATGACATTTCTTTCTACAATATCCAAGTATTAGAATTATAATTTAGTTAAATTAGGAAAAGATAGTTTATTATGGTTAAAGAAATATTAGTTTTTTTGTATTGTTTTGAATGCACGCATTATGCAATGCCAACACAAATTAAAAGCTAGATGTGATTGGTTTGAGAAGCTTTTCGTTATATTGTTGAAATATTTTATACATCTGTAAGCAATCTATGAAATAAATGCTCTGACAAAAGATTTATAAAATCTAGTGTCTGTGGTCACAGGACTGTAGTAACTCCACAACTATTATAAAACAACCAACCTGTCTGTCTACCTGTCTGCCTTTCATCTGAAATGATTGGCCCTTCTGGACTGGGTTTTCTGTTGAATAATTAAAAAGCAAGTTTACTCTGGGTGGCTTCTTCTAGATGTTACCTACTGTACCAGGTACCCAGCTAGCGGGGAACCTTCTCACAACTTTGGCTAACATTACCTACAGGTTCTAATAATGTTTTAAAGAAATGTTTTAATCTGATGTTCAAAGAACCTTTTTAGGATGTTTATTTTTTCAAATAATGTTCCTATAAGGTTTAAGGTTAACTAAGACATAACGTTTTAACTGCAACATTCTGAAAATGTTTTCAGGATGTTATTAAGGCCTGAGATGACAGAAAGTGTTTTATAAAATGTTCCTTTAATGTGATATGTTAACAAAGGTGGAACGTTTTGCCTGCAACATTCTAAGGATGTGTTTTGGACGTTGTTGGGGTAACACATTAAAGATGTTCTTTATAAAACGTTCCCTCACTGTTACATGATAACAAATGAAGAACATTCTCCAAGAAACATTCTGAAAATGTTTTCAGAAGGTTATTCTTTTTTTATAAAACGTTCCTGTGATGGCAAATATTAACACGGTCATGGTCAACGTCAGATTTATTTCTAGAGCGCTTTAAAAAACAAACTTGTTGCATTTGTTTGAAAAGGATGTTTAAAAAAAAAAATCTGATGTCACCATAATTTCCTTTTGAAAAAAACAAACAAGCACGTAATTCATGATAAGCTGTAAGCAGATATTGCATGTTTGCGGTGGCATGTGTGAGTTCCCAGCTAGAAATGTTTGTTACCATTCGTTGTTCTAGGAATGTTTTCAGCGGGACGTTTTATTTTGGTTCCCAGAATGTTCTTCTGAAAGGTAGGATAACGTTCTTTAAAAACATTCTGGAAATGTTTGGTGATAACCTTCTTAAGATGTTTTTGATAACCTTCTTAAGATGTTTTTGTAAGAGGCGGGGCCTCTCATATGACGCACACCTGCACACTTGCTAGCCTGTTCCACTCTTTGTTTTCCGAATGTCAGGAAGTATTCTTGACTCGCTTCTGAAGCAAGATGCTCGGCAGACATGTGCTACCAAGCATTCTACCAAGCTATTCTCAATCGCGAGTACGCGTAAGAGTGGAACAGGCTAGCAAGTGTGCAGGTGTGCGTCATATGAGAGGCCCCGCCTTACATCTTCCGCCACAGATTTGGGGAAAATTGGTCCGTGCGCAAAGCATTGTGGGGATTTTAAGACCGCGGAGTCTACTCATGTGCAGCCTCGATATTTCTCCAAACGGAGTGCGCCGGGCTCGGTAGATTTCCAAGTATGCTGGAGATTGGAACAGTACTTCGGCGGCACTCGATGACGTAGTATGCTTGAAATAGTGGCTCTGGAGCAGCTTTACTCGCGATTGAGAAACACCCCCTGTGTGTCTCTCTCTCTGCCTGCTGGTCTGCTCTACACGGCTGGGAGCAATCTCCAATCAACCACACCTGCAACCTGCTCATCAGCCACACTATGAAAGCCTGCAGCCTGCACTCATTCCCTGCCGGATTGTTGCCGTGAACGGTTTGTTGCGTGCCGCTCTAGCTTTTTACCAGCATATTCTTTGACAACTTTACCTGCTTTTGCCTCACACTCATTTTGATGTCTCTCCCAGGAGGAATCCAAGGCCTTCCACACTCCCAAGACCAGCCAGGCCTCTCCACCCTGGAACAACTGTTTCCCACTGCTGCCATAACCAACCTCCACTCCCAGCTCCCCTTTTCTAATAAACAAATGTTACTTTCACCAGCTGATTCCGATTCATCCTTCTACATGTGTTAATAGTCAAATTCCAATAGTTAAGTAAACTATCAAAATCATCCTAATGACCACAGTGGTCAGTCCACTTACCCAGGAATTTTGAGTTGAACAATTACAGGAATATTATGTCTTTATGTTCTAATAATGTAAAAATATGTTAGTAAATTGTTACCACAGAACATTTGCATAATGTTTTAAACATAAAGCATGTTATCCTTCTCTAAAATAATAACATTCTGGCAACATAAACAAATCTAACTTGCAGCTGAAAACGTTTTAAGAACAGTAGGGCATAATGTTCTAACAATGTTATCAAAAACATTTTAAGAATGTTTTTAGAGAATGTTATCCTACCTTTCAGAAGAACGTTCTGGGAACCAAAAGAAAACTTCCCGCTGAAAACATTCCGAGAACAATGAATGTAACATTCTCAGAATGTTTTTAGAACCAAACATTTCTAGCTGGGTAGGCTATAATATGTCACTTTTTTTCAATAGAATGTCTAAAATGACACAACCTATATTATATAGAATGCATAAAACATTTTTTTTTTTGGTATTCTATAACAAATGTTACCAACAATTTCCAAACCCAGATACATTTAATATTTGTAAGCATACAGTGTCAGTGGCTTTAAAATGCTAAATACTATAATGTCCGCTCACATGTCAGCGTCATTAATGTCTGTTTGTAAGCCACATTTTACCATACACTTCTAATATTAACGTTATTAACTTTATATTTGATCTACATGAAGGATTTCAGTCATCACATGTTTGGAGCTTTGGTCATCAAACAAGCTAAACTAACGTTAGCTGCAGCTAGCACTCTGAGTGTTAACATGACTCTGTTTTATCAGTGTTTCTACCGTGTTAAACAGTGAGTCTGTTTGTTTGGAGAGGAGCAGAACTCTGAGGATATTCTGCTTCCTGTTAAAACCTTCTGAATGAATACAACTGAGAACTGAAAGAGTCCTAATTAGGAGACTCAGAGGCTCACCGCAATGACAACAACTCCCATAATCCCACGCTTCTTCACCAATCTACGTTTTTTGTGATTATTTGATTGGGTGACCCCTAGTGGCAGAAAGGACATGTGTAATCTGGATTTAGGAGATACCATGGACACAGTAGGAGACTCTTTGACTGGACTGGTGTCACTGGCTGTCACCAAACATGACCTGTGTGATTTGATTTGTAAAGTTTCAGTTATTTTCTCCTGTCAGCAGGGTGGAGGCTGGTGGAGGAAGGGGACATCTTTATGGAAAATACAACTAACGTGGAATAGCAGCACCACCTAGTGGTGAGGATCCCACAGTGCAATGACACAAACTGAAGTTTTAGACTGGGCATTCCCTATATATTAGTATTAATATGTTCATGTTACTGATTCCCTGGTGGTGTCAGCCACGAGGACATTACTGCTTCCTGGTGCTGAAATAACTCTGGCGCAAAATGCAAACTCTTAAGTTCAATCGTTTATTAAATGTAATATACATTCATTCCTTTCTTTAAATGTGATTTTGATGATGTGCACAATTTTGTTCATTATAAAAATGGTGGCTTGGGAAACACAGTATATAACTCAAAAATAACTCAAAAATAATAAAATATGTGTGGATTTCTCGGCCTGTGGTTGTGATTTGAGGACTCTTCCATGAGCCTGAGAGCTTAAAACATTCTGGGTAGTTAACTGTTAGTCATTTTCAGCCATATTAAATGAAACAACACAGGCTTTGCATCCCGCTGAGCCCGGTATGAACACACAACACACACGTTTGATAAATCCATTTTAATGGAAAATGTAAAACCCTTTGAACTTCAATGTACAAAGCATGTAACACTTGCACTTTAAAATTTGAAATTGAAGCAAGCCATGTTTTAAAAAAATACCTCAGTGAATGTATATATGTATATATTTACACATTATAGTAAACATTTCATTATTTTATCTTTTAACTTCAAAAGTTCACCATAGTAAATTTAACTAAACAAAAAAACAAGACAATTCATTATTTTCTTAAATAAATTATATATTTTCTGTAAATGTCTTAATTTTACAGCAAATACTTTTTTTTCATAAAATGCTGAAGTGTATAAGCCATTTTGTTCTTTTTTACATAATACAACTTTACAGTCTTTACAATAGTTTGGCAGTTCATTTTCAAAAATGTATTTATGGCATGAGGACTGTAGAGCATCAACATTTCCCAAAGTTACAGGCAATAGCTGGTGTGTGTGTGAGTGAGTATGTGTGCGTCTGTGTGTGAGTGTGTGAGTGTGTGAGTGTGTCCTCCATCACAGTAGAGCCGTATTACAACTGAAAACCACATACTAAAAGAAAGAAAATAAACTGTACAACTCACATTTACATTAATGCTTTTTTTGTCTCAATAACATCGCATATCATACAGCTATAAAATAAATATATATCTTCACAGAGGAAATAAAACAATGTTCGTATTAAAAAGAAAATGTAGAACAAACGGCAACAGACAGATAGAACTAGAAAAGAAGAACAGAACGGACAGAGTACAGACAGACGACACAGAGGGGGGGGGGGCAGCGAGCGCTGACGGAAACTTCTTGTTTCTCTTTTTGCATTTTTTACCCTCAATATTTTTTTGATTTGAACAGCAGAGATGATGCTGCTGCTGCTGCTGGTGATGCTGTGGGGGCTGCTGCTACAGACAGGGACTACACCTCCTGCAGGGGGGGGGGCAGAGTCTCCATCATGCTGTCAGCTCACAGGACAGTCTGAGTTTCCATGGTAACACACCAGTCACAGAGTTGGGTTTGAGTGGGGGGGTGTAATCCCTGTCGGTGCAGCCGCCTAGTGTTTGTCTCCTCTTGGCACTGAAGGTTTGGTGGTGATGGGGGGTGGGGGGGGGGCGTGGTCTACTCACACCCTGAGGTTCCCGGGTCACATGACCAGCTCTTACCCCATCACCTCCACCTGAGGAGGGGGGGGAGGAGAGGAGGTGCTGATTGGAGGCGTCTCCCTCTCTGCAGGGCGGGGGCGAGGTGGAGGGGGGGTCATGAGTTCTGCTCCTCCTCGTCTTCCTCAGAGCTGCTCCTCTTCAGGGAGCTCACCGCCTCCTTCACACAGTGGAACAGGATGTTCTTCACCTGAGGAGGAGGAGGAGGAGGAGGAAGAGGCTTCATGTGACAGCATGTACATTGAAACACAGTATTGTTGTTTGCATGTTCATTGGTTGCCTTTAGAGCCTAGTTTCTACAGCTTCATCATATTTGCAGAATTAGATTCCAGTGGTAGCTGGAATCATTATTTCAGACCCATGTGATCCAGACATTATTCATAATTATAGTAAAGACAAAATGTATTTAAAAACGACCCAAAATAATGCTGCAATCCATATTTGTAGGCCTTTAAGTGCGCTCAAAAAGATGTTGGTAAAATAAAAGATGAAGAAAGCCTCGATAGAAGCTTTGAATGGAAAGAAAAATCCCAACGTTTTGTAAACTTATAAATACAGACAGTACTCTGACCCTGTACACTGTGAGATAGAGCTTTGTTCAGGTAAAGATCTGGAGAAAATATATATTTAAAAATAAATGATTGATTGGAAACTCTCAGGAGAGGAGGGCTGCATCATTTGAACATGAAAGAAGAGTGAACCATCAGGGTGACTGGAGTAACAGAACCCTGCTCATAGAGGGGACTGATGCTATGTTCACACCAGAAACAAAAAGCAACGTCACCTGCAGCTTGTCCTCGTAGTTGACCTCCTCGTTGTTGGGCCGCAGCTCCTGGCTCAGGTGGAAGGAGTTGGCCACGTGCTCGGGGGACACAAAGTCATTGATGACCTGCACACAGCTGTGGAGGTTCTGCACCTGAGGGGGGGGGCACACACACGATAATCAATCCCCACTCACTTTGTCATTGAAATAAGTTATATGTGAAAATATATAAGGAATGTGTACACTAAAGAAAACTACAGTTAATATGTGCCTAATCACAAACTATTACAATATAAGATGATGGGAATCAAATGTTTAAACCTTCTGAATAACCAATACAATTATTAAAACATCAACATATTAGTTCTATATAATCTATCTTCAAAACAACATGATCAATTGTTTAGTTGATGTTTGTTTACTTCATTTGAGTCACCTGTTATAGTTTATAATACAGTTACAAGCAGTGGTAAAAAGTCACTTAAGTACATTTTTGAGAGACTTGTACTTCAGCATTTCAATTCCCCACTACCATTCAGAGGTAAAGTATGTACTTTTACACCCCTACATGTATTTAATACCTTTAGTTACTTTACAGATGTGGATGAATGATGTGAAATATAATCAAGTGTTAAATCAGACTTTAGTTCCACCTGGAGTAAATTCACAAGCTACCCTGCAGTATACAAAGTCATTCAAACTAGTGTGTGTGTGTGTGTGTGTGTGTGTGTGTGTGTGTGTGTACCTGGTGCATGGCCCCTGCTGGTATGAGTACAGAGTCTCCCAGGAACTGCACCACGGTCCAGCCCTGCACCCCCTGCTCCTCCAGCAGCCGCTGCCTGTGCTTCCTGCTCAGGTACAGGCCCTGCTCTCTGATGGGGTCCTGCTCAGGGGCCCCGTCCAGGCTCTGCTCCTACAGAGGGGGGGGGGGGGGGGGACAGAGGTGTTAGTGAGCTCAGTATTAGTACGTCAGTTCACTACGTAGTGAACTATGTGAACTGGTGAGTGTAGTTATTCAGAGAGTTCATCAGAGGGCTGACCTTGCGCAGGAACTCCCGCACTTTTTCCATGTCATTGTTGAGGTAGATATGCCACAGAGCCCCCGGGGTCTCACTGGAGTCTTTGAGCCTCCTGCGCACCCCTTCATCCAGATCCTCCTCCTCCAGACGCTTCAACACTCCTACACACACACACACACACACACACACACACACACACACACACACACACATGTTTTTCTAAGGATTCATTCAATTCTTATTTTCATTTATTAATTAGGAAATGTATCTTTTTTTTTTCCAATTCATTGAATGAAATGTAAATATTTAGTCTTTTAATCAGTTAAAACCCCTCCATCCAACACTCAAACCTGTCAAACATCCCGAACTGTTCAGTTAACAAAGATATGATACTTAGAAAATAGATACTAGATTCCTTGAAATTTCTCTTGATAGATTCAAAAAATGTTGTTATACATTAACTGTGTTTTTGTGTTTCAACTTCTCATCGATCTTCCATTAGGGGACACTGTGGTTGCAGATGTGTTTTTTAAGTGATCACTTTTGTATTTTTTCAATTAGCAAAAGTTGGGAAGAAACTGTTGTTTTCTGTCCCTCTGTGACACAGCCCTTACACACCTGAAGCAGCAGCTTGACACAGTCATCATTAACATTATAGTGTTTATGTCTAGTCATGAGCTCTGACATCTTTTTCATATTTAGCTATTTATCCTGTCCCTCCTGTCCACAGTTATTGAGAATAGTTCATGTTAGTCAGCCAGTCTTTAGGGTCATCATGTAGCTGACTGTAGTAAAGCCTACCAGTTTTTGACAGGACTCCGTTGCCTTTAGCGACTCCCACGTAGACCAGAACTGAGACCACATCTGAGACTTCCACATGGAGGTTAGCGGTCCCAAAGTCCTGGTCCTGAGACGCAGCTACGCCTGCAGAGAGACAAACAGCTTCAGAAGAAGAACACAGAGAGTCTGGAGAACACTTTAAATGGAAATATATGGAGGGAAGCATGAGACTACTATATTTAAAGTGTGTACATAATGAAATAGAAGAAAATAACGTTAGTCTGCAGACAACCACAACATCTTTCTCAGATACACACATGTAATTAGGGGACCAATTATACCACAGTTCATATGTCTCTTCGTGTTTGTCAGATGAAGGTGTATCCATCATGTCAACTCCACCTTCAAATTAGTTAACCACTCATTTCAAATCTCTGCACTCATTGCTGTAGGTAAATCCTTCGTACCGTAGGCACAGCAGAGCCTGGGCCCCAGATCGGGCCGGACAAAGAAAGAGGGCAGGTGGGAGGCCAGGTTCAGGTTGCCCTCTGGATCAGAGTACTCCGGCAGAGGCAGATTCTTCATCAGGTCATCATATCTGCAACAACATCATCTCCTTTAGATGCACTCACAATTTATTTTGCATCTGAACTAAAGACATTTGCTGAAAAATGAGAGATTAGGACATCCGACAGCACAGAGGTAACAGAGGTAAAAAGGGTGTGTGTACCTGGAGGGCATGAGGGCCATGAACTCCTCTCCAGAGGGCCAGTCCTTCAGCCTGTACACCATGGGCTCTCCGTCCTTTGACTTGGGCCGCTCTGAAAGGGTAAGTAGACTTCATTTAGACTGAACAGATTTGAGTTTATCACCTTTGCCATGGTGCTACTGTATTTGATCAAACAGCTAAACCAAGTGGATAAACTCACTGGTGATGTCCTCGAATCCATCCCAGAACTCCTTGATCCCAGAGTTGGACACCACCTGGTCCTTACAGTTGAGCAGGTCTCCCTGATGGTCAGCAAACTCCTGGTTGAAGGAGTCGGCTTTCCACAGGGCGCTGTTCAGTCGCTTGTGGATCCCTGACACCAGGACAGGCTGCAGACACAGAACATGTTGTTATCACGGAGGAACTCATTAACTGCTGCTATGACTTCTCTATTACTGTGACTAATATGCTGCTGTGAGGACTGGTGTGTACCTGTCCTTGTCTCCAGCACTCTCTGAACAGCTTCCAGTTGTTGTGGTTGCGGTGATCTTTGAGCCACAGCAGCCGCCTGTTGTTTAACCAGCAGTGAGGAATATCTGGATACTGATTGGTTGATTCTTCTGGCACCGCCGCAGGAACAGCTGTCTTCTTCCTATCTGGTTTAACATCCTCAGTGATAGCAGGGGTGGGGTTGTTGTTGTTGTTGCTAGGGGTGACAGGCTCATGCTTGATGCTTGACAGTTTGCTGGCGATGTTCTGGCGGTTGGCCGGGATTTTATTTTCAACCACTGAAGCAATGATTTCATCAAGGATGTTAGGCATGGTCCTCCCACCTTTTCCATGCTACAGAGAGATGGGAAGAAAGAAGGAAAACAATATTTCGTTTTTAAAACTGTGTATTGGCAAAATTAGGCAGGTATTATATTTTGTAAATGTAAAGGAAACTTCAGGAGCAACGACTCTGAACACAAGGAGATCACAGCGGAGCTCAAACTGATGTCAGTCACTGAAGATTTAGTGGAAGTTACAGCCGAAAAACGGACAAAGTGATACAGTTCCTTCCCAACTAGTTGAAGCTCTCTCACCCCGTCACAAGTATGTAGCTAGTACTAAGACAATTATCAAGATTCTGCATGACGAGACATAACAGGCCAAGCACTATGACTCCTGTTCCTAGCTAAGAAAATATGCCAAAGGGGAGACACATATCCAATAAGATGGACTACCAGATGTCCCTCGAGCCAGCAAAACACCCTGTATCGACTGATGCCAACAGGCAACAATAAAGAGACAAAACGACTTTCTCAAAGAGTGAGCAGCACCCTGAAGTCGCATGCCTGTGCTCTGAGCGGGAGTTAGGGGGAGAAGAAAGTGATAAACTAGGTGAAAGGTCTTGGCCTAAGTAAATATTTTCCTCAACAATTTCCAAATGACTAATGTTAAATCCTTGAACATATGGATGTGTACCTGTGCAGCGTTGCAGTAGACTGGTGCGAAGGCGATCCCAGCGTCTGTGGAGCCCATCTTCAGCTTCCCTGCTGTGGTGGTGAGCAGGTCTCTGAGGGTGGAGCCCTGCTCCGTACTGTTGGCCACCAGGGAGGTGGTCTTACACTGCTGCAGCACCTCCAGGCTGTCCCCCACCTTGTCCTCCTTCACTGATTTACCCAGCACCACAGACTTGTTTTCTGTTAGAGCAAGAGGGGAAGAGATGACTAACAACATACCATATGGAGGTCAAATATTCAAAGTTTCAAAACAACTGTACTGACTACCAGGGTGGAGAGGGTTACTTTAAAAATATAATCTGTTACAATAACTAGTTACATGTCAAAAATGTAACCTAATCTGAGTATCAAAATATAAAAGCATATATATACATATATTACATATAAATGTAACCTTCCGTTTCTTTTGCATTACCTACAATGTAAGAAAGAGAAAATAAACAACAATAAAATGTCTTTTTATTTTACCTTAGAAAAGAAGAAACCAAGATATTGTATTTAAAAATTACAGTAATAGTTTACAAATGCTGTTTGAAATGAATACATTGATCAAAAGCAAACTGTATTTTTGTTTGTTAATCCACCTACTGCATTAAAAAAGAAATGTATTTAAAATAAAGAAGAATTAAAGTAGCCTAAATAAAAACTGTAAAGAAAATGTATTCAGTACGTCTACCTATAATATATCGATTTTTATTTCAAAATGTATTGTAGCACTTAAATCCTGCTAGTAATCTCAAAATTGTTTTTAAATGTAACAGCAATCTCATAACTTTTTCTTTTTCTTTTTAAGTAATTGTAATAGAATACAGTTACCTTTTTTTGTATCCTAATAATGTCATCTTGCAACATGTAATCCGTTACTACCCAAGCCTGCTGACTATAACTTCAAATCATAACACAATGTAATATCTCTCTGTCCCATGAGCCTCCCCCCCTCACCTTTCTTCTCCTCCCTGGACTTCTGCTCGGCCAGATCAGCCAGGAAGTGCAGAGGGGACTGGGACTCGGGCGGGGTGACAGGAGCACTTCCTGCATCGCTGTTTGGACTGCTTCCCCCCCCCCCTCCGTTAGTCTCCACCTTCGTCCCTCCTTGGTCGGAGTTCTGCTGAGAGCCCAGCTCAGTCTTGAGCACAGAGAGTTTGTTACTGTGGTTCAGGACGTTCTGCAGAACCTGCCACAGGAGTGGGGGGGGGGGGTTAAAGGTCAACATGAGACTGGCGGCCTCGGGGTGTTACACCAATTAGATATAGATTATTTGTAAAAGAACAGGGTTAAAAAGAGAGGGTCAAAAGTTACCCTAAACCAGGGGGGTCCAAACCATTTGTAATTGGTCCCACAGCAAATTCTGCTTGTCTTATATTGTACTTCGTAAATATGTAGAAATATCTTACACAGTATTGATGTGTTAATCAGCCCAATGTTCAAATAAATTCAGTCAATTAAAGCTGAAAACATTTGATACAAATCTTAGTTGATAAAAAAGCCCAATAACTTGCATAACAAACTTGAAATATACCCTCTCTATTTTGCCTTGTTTATTGGTTTCATTTCCCCTCCAGAATAAATGATGGCACATTAATAATGAATAGAATAGAACTAAAAGGCATTAATAACAGCGAGACTCTACAGAACAGAATCTGCTGTGTGTTACATCTGTAAAGCATCTGCATACCAGCTGGGGGCAACAGTGATGGGACTTATAATAAGATGACACAGGCATTCATGAGGCATATTAAAAAAAACACAATAACATTACTTGGTTGGAGTTGTCCCACTGTTCAAATATTTCCTTTAACCTTTTACTTTTCCTTTTAGTTTTAAGCAAAAACTTTTTTCTACTTTTTGGTGACCCTTGTTTCACTCTCGAAATGAACACGTTTAGTGTCTATACTGAACAATTCCAGACAACAAATAAGGTGACTATACAAATACGTCAGTAGTACCTGTGAGACTCCGTTAGTGGCTGGCAGTTTGGTGAGCAGGTTCTGCTTGGTGCTGCAGGGACAGTGGGACTTGATGTTGTGTTTTTCTCTCAGAGAGTGCATGGAAGACACCAAATCTGCCAGCACTGAAATATCAGAAACATAACATTTCAGGAAAAAAACTATGAAGATGAAAAAACATGTTTTTTTGTTATTGACTGCTTTGGTCAGAATATGATTCTTTAACCCATCAGCCACACACTGCCATCCAGGAAGGGCAAAGCAAGCAGCAGAGACACAAAGAGAGACACAGAGATGAGAGTGTGTGCTGTACCTGTGCCGGGGATGATCTGTGTCGGCATCAGGTGTTTGTGATCGTGGGGTTGACCTTTCACACACTTGAGCCAGCCGTACAGTTCTTTGTCTAAACACAGAAAGAAAGACACCTGTCAGTAGATGTACTAACATCACACACATTACAACACAGCAAACCAACGAGGCATATGATGTTAATGCTGTTTGTAACCCATATGAAATATAGGGCTACTAGACCCCTTTATGTCATTTAGATGTATGAATACATGTTTCTGCACGGAGCGCTCTAGAATGTACAGGGTGATGAGTGGCTCTCTCTCTTTCCCTGTGAACACCCTGAAGACGCAGAGACGACAGTCGAGCAGCTTTTAGTATAGTGTACATAATAGCATTAAAAGAGTGGTTATATGTACTCAAACTATATTAGTTAGGGGGGGGGGGGGGGGGGGGGCGGAGCTTATGCCTGCTCAGAATTCTACCGAGATACTCCGCTAAATGCTGCGGTGAAGAAACGCCATATCAAAACCACATCAAGGATTATTTCTGAAACAGGTTAGAGCTCAAATGCCTTTTCTCTTGCGGGTTTACCACAAGGTGGGTGAGTACCTTTTTCTATCCTGCTTTTTTACACATACTCTCTCCAGTACAGGTTAGCTCTGAGTGATAGCAATTAGTTGGTTAATTCATTTCATTAGCTGTAGTGCAGCTACATGCTGACTAAAATGTCTGTTCATGGTTAAGAATAACTGTTAAAAAGTGGTTAAAATCATAACAAATGGTAGTTAAAAACACTATAGTGTATACTTTGTTATTTATACTCAAATGTAAGATGTGATGTTTAAAAATATAAATTATTTATCACTAGTTGAAATACACATTGGTGATGAAAGTAAATAATTTAATTGTAAATGAAATATGCTTTAAGTTACTGTTTAAATTGTGAAACATGCTAACTAAAGATGTTTATAAGAGTTATGATAGAACAGAAAGATAAGAGTGATTTACTATTCTGCACTATTCGTGCAGGTTGTTTTTTTTCTTATGTCAGCAAGCCAGATCCAATCTGACTTGGGATTGATGGCGAGCCAAGCCCAGTGAGTCTGTTAGCGGTTGTTGGAAGCGGGTGTGGCCTACCGTTGGACCTGCCTATAGAGGACGTTGGATTTGAAGGAATCCTGCTGAATTCACTCACACTGATTTCAGATAATGACCAGTACACTATTAGCTCTACCCAGGTAGAAGGAGCCATAGCAGTACACACACACAGAACTGAACTGATCGAAAGGGATTTGAATTATCTTATTCAAAGGGAAAGGACTCTTTTATTTGTAAGTTAAAGAGCTCTATTTTTTATTTTCATTTATTTTCATATTGTTGTGTGCCAACATTTACAATCTCATGTAAATGTTGTTGAATATTGCTGGCAATAGGTAACATTAAGCTGTCTTTGGCTCTTTTCTGCTGTAGCAATGTAAATGTCCCCTCTGTGGGACTAATAAAGGTATTCTGATTCTGATTCTGAATAAAATTGTAAAATGTTCAACTAAATCTAACTCTTCTATTTTCATTTATTTTCATATTGTTGGCACAATCTAATGTAAAATGTTGTTGAATGTTGCTGGCAATAAAATGTAAAATCTTCAACTAAAGATAACTCTTCGCAGAGTTATTCCCGGCACACCACTATTCGGACCTAGGTAGATGTTAGTGCCTCTGTTCTTGGTGTGAGATAGGTTCATTTCTCGTACTTTATACCCCATTTACACGGGAACGAAACGGGTTGTATCCGCATAGTTTCTCTTGTGTATAGCCCTTTCATTTACACGAGGCCGTAACAAAACGATAGAAACGGACCCCGCAAACGATAACGGGTCCCAAGGTGGATAGATCTGCAAACCGAGCGCTCTGGGGGGTCAAACGGCTCCGTGTGATCGCCTCTATACGATCATTTCCCGATAGATGAAGCCATAGCCCCGCCTCTCCCCACCTCTGCTGCTCACTGCTGTAGCATGGTCAGTAGCTACTGTCAGTAGCTACTGACCATGCTACAGATGTTAGTACAACATCTACAGCTCCTCTACCACAACCATCAGCAACAAGTGGACATGGAGAATTACATGAACTACTACATGTTACTAAATCCCGCGGGGCATAAACAGAAGGGCAACCATGGCAACCATGCTCCGGGGTCTTCTTCGCTGCTTTTGGTGTATTTTGTGGCGGCAGCAGCGCCACTTACAGGCCTGGCATATGTACTACAGAGTTTCCAGCCGGTCGAGCGGTCTCGTGTGAACAGACATATATATATATATATATATATACAGTCTATGGAACAGACACGTTAAATGAATCGAATGCGTGTGAACGGAAGACTTTTTTGAAAACGCATACGGTGCGTAAACGCAAACGTTCCCGTGTAAAGGCAGCCTTAGTCATTGCTGCTGCATGATGCATGATGCATGGCCAATGTTGTTGTAGTCATTGACATAAACCAGACTATGTAAACAATTAAGAAAATCCCCCAATCATTTTAGTGAAAGAGCCTCTGATTATATTATTTTATATTTTTTATAAAAGTATTCAGGCGTCTGATGCCACCTTGGCTGCCAAGAGCAAAAATCATGAAACCTTAAACAAACATGTACAAAAAGAAACCGAAAGAAGTACACCTTGACATATAGCTGTGCCGTGTGACCTTTGAATCAGTTTCATCCTCACCCCTCTCTCTCTGTGATATGAGTGCATGCAACTCTGCCTGTATATCCTGCCTGTCCAAACAAACACACAACTGACCTTTGGAGCTCCTCCTCTCCTTGGCCTTGTAACAGTCCAAGCAGACAACGAAGCCACACTTCTGACAGACCCAGTGGATGTTGAAGAGCGTTGCCTCGCAGGCGTCGCACATCTCCCTCACCCCCCTCACAGCTCGCTTCCACACCACCTTGGCTGAAACACACATAGAATATTAAAAGTTTAAAAACAAAGTTATGGTTATTTATTTCAAATGTCAGCCATTTTTGAAGAAACTCACCATCTTTCTTGACCCAGGTGGCTGCTGTGTTCTCGGTCACAACCATCTGACAGAACTTGTCTCCTATGAAGCTGAGGATGTACTTGGCTGTGTTTTGGTCCAGTTGGGTGTCCTCCAGCCCGGGGACCCACAGGGACAGGGCCTCGTCATCAAACTGCTCCGGGTTGGAGAAGCCATCCATCCGGAGGACTCCATTTTTACTGAAGGACAGCCTGGAGGGGATGAAACAGGATACCATCACACAGTGTGTCCAGCAAAGAACGAAAATAGAGAAAAGATGATGAGCATCCTTCATGAACACTGGGGAGACTTAGATATCACAAATATTCTCATAGGCTCACACAGCATGATTAAAAAACACTGAAAACTGAAAGATGGCCCACTGAAATATCATATTTGCCTTCTGTTTAAATCGCAGTTCCACTTTAAAGCCCTCAGAGTGCAGATACATTATATTATAATATATATTATAAAGCTAATAGTGCCACACAGCTTATTAAAATCACTTTTTTCATCACTAAAAATAGAAAAGGCATAGTGATTACTCCACTGTGAGAAAGGAGATTTAGAGACGCCACAAGTCAAATCCGGACAAATGCTGATGTAGCTGTTGAATTATGTATTATTGTGTGGTACAGATGATCAATATGCTGTATCTGACAGTAATTGATGAACAGCAACAACAACACAAATCCCTGTACCATGGTATTTGCAGGGACAGTACAACAGCACACATCAGCATCAAGCTTTCCCTTTTAAAATATGGCAGTTATAGGAAGTCACAAAGAGACCATCCTTACTGCTGCTGCATATTGAAATCATGCAGTGAAGAAAGCAGCTGCAAGTGTTTTATATGAAAACAAGCATCCTCTTTATCCTGATGGGCCTCTTTATTTCCAAGCTTTTTATAATATCTAAAGTACCCCTGAGGTGAATTGATATTAATACATCCTCATCAGTACAAAACACTCATGTGTAGAATTCATATGCAATGAATTCCTGGCATTGAGTAACAGAATGAGAGGAGGGTTTTGTAGATGAGCCCTCTCTCTGTAAACCCTTTGTGTTCAACTCTGTCCTTAAACAACCCGGGCAGCTCAGGTGAATGTTCTGCTGGGCCAGAGAGAGAGAGAGAGAGACAGGGAGAGGAGGGGAGATAAGGTGAGAGAATGAAGAGGAAGAGGAGATGCAAGGAGGGGAGGCGGGGGAGACATAGACATTTCAGCAGCAGCAGTTCTGCAGTAAGGAAAAGATTATAGAAGAGAAAATCCTCTTTGGCAGATTTACCTTGTCTGACCCTACACTGCAGCTGCTGCTTATCCAACTCTAGTGTGTGTGTGAAAGAGAGACACACAGACAGAGGCAGTACAAACTGTACCAGCCCTAACATTCATATTCTATGTGTTTCTATTTTGGATGAGAAAAGTCCTTGCTTCCCCTCTTCTCTTTAGAGAGAGCCAGCTTAAAGCTACAACGCATCATGGAGCAGTTGTTTCTCCCTGAAGATCAGGAAGAGAGCATAGCATCAACAGAGGGGTCTGAGGAGGAGTTTAGGGGGGGGGCTATTACAACTGCATAGAGTTTTAGGGTCCCACAGGATCACTAGGATGAATATATGTATACTTGATGGGTGTAAATGTTGTCAAAGTTAGGTTTGCAAGTTTTACCGTCTGAAATAGTAGAAGCGGCAGAAGACGGGGGAATGTGCGGGCTCCTCCCCCTTCTTGCTGCGGATCACCCTGCACTCCCGACACTTCTGCAGGTTGGGTCCAATTTCAGCACACGAGTCGTCCTGAAGAAAAGACTCTCCCGTCTGCTTCAGCTTCTTCACTTTCCTCCAGTCCTTCAGGACGGAGCGGGGGATCCCATCTGAGAAGAGAGACCCTATTATTAGGTCACTGATAGTACCAACATTTTTTTATGACTAGATAAGCAATTCAATTTCAACTCTTATTCCGCATAATATGGTCACTCGGTTTTCCAACCATTGTGGAAGCAAGGATGGAGAGAGAAGATTGAAATATATATGATACATATCATATATATATATACATATTTTTAGCTTGTTTTATAATCCGGGATACTTAAATAGATAAATATAACTTCAAACAATTCTTAAAAATAAGCAGTTTATGGGGTAAGAAGTGGCAAATATCTTGACATGTCGTGTAGGTGTAGGTGTAATAAGTATTATATGTGCAAAAGTTGATGAGTTGATAAAAAGTGGATATTCTACAAACGTTATTCTACATTCTGTCTTTGTGCCAAAGAGCACGATTAATGTCTAAAAAGTATTTAAAAAAACCCACATCAGTTAGCCACACACACTTCCTTCATTACCATGAACACACCCACACTGTAGATAGTACCGTCTGCTACTGTTAATACTCACTACAGCACCAAATGTGGATTTATCAGGCGCTAAAAAAGCCCCAGGGGGCTTGGGGCTGAAACAGATGAATACTTGTCGATGAAGTCTTTCAATGACATTTGGTAACAAAAACAAAACCACAGATACTGCCAGTCTGTGATCTGTCTGGTTGCCTGGGAAACTGTTGAGAGAAGACAGACAGACTGAGACTTACTGCTGCTGGCCAGCTTGAGTTTAGTCTTCTCTCGGGCTGATCTGAAGATGCCGTTAGGCTTCAAGTCGTCTTCCTCCTTCTCATTGTCTCCTTTCTTCTTCGCCATGTCGTTCTGTTTCTTCTTGTAGGTGGGTTTGGGCTGGCGCTTGGCTCGGCCCTCCATTTTGCTCTCGCTGGCATCGGAGTCGTCTCCCCCACTCTCTGAAGCCGACTCGTATGTGCGCTTGTTCCCTCGCCTTAAAGAGGGAGGTACTTTCCTCTCCTCCCCGCCGCCTCCTTCTGCTCCTCCCACCTTCTCCTCCTGCTGCCTCTCTCTCTCAGCTTTGATCACACTGTCTTTGCTCATCTCCACCTCGCTGGAGGTGGAGGCGCTCAGATTGACGGTACAAGGTTTGATCATGTCTGACATGGCTGCGGTGTTACTGGTGCTGGTGGTGGTGGTGGGCACTTTCTCTGGTTTAACACTGGGGGGGGTTGTGTTAGCAGTTGTGTTCCTGTCCTCCTCTGAGTGGCGGGTTAGCCAGGCTTTCTTCAGCTTGTGGTAGTTGCTGGGCTGCACACTGGAGGAGACTGAGCTCTGGCCGTTGGGCAGGGGGCTGGACTTGCCTGTCGTTGTGCTACCGCCCACCGAGCTGTTGCTACTGCTGTCCACGGAAGATGTTGAGGCTTGGCTGGAGGAGGGTAGTGGGGGGGAGTTTTGTATAGGAGTTTTGTCAGCTGAGTCCACAGGTAGGAAGCAGTTTCCAGTTGTGATGGCTGTGGGAGCAGAGGAGAAGTTGGTTCTGGATTGGGCTGCAGCCAGGGCAGCTTTGTGCTTCTTTAGGTGGACAAAGGAGGGGGAGTACGGCTGACTTGAGCCAGAAACAGAGCTAGGTGTTGGGGTGATGCTAGGACTGGGCTGGGGTGTCCCTGCTGGACTAGGGGGCGGCAGAGAGCCCCCTGGAGATGTAGTGCGTAACACTTCGTGGTACTCTCCTGGTCCTGAGTGACTCAGCACCCAGCCACCAATGCCAGTTTTATGGGAGGAAATGTGAGCTGATGAGGAGTAGCCCAGCTCAGGGAGGGCGGTGCCACTCATACTCTGGATGCCAAAGGCTGGAGAAATAGTCCTGCACACAGAGTTAGACATACTAGCTCCCATCATTCCATGCATGCTACGCATAGAAGTGTTGTTATACTGGACACACATGTCGTCCAGGTTGGAGTTGGGTTGGATGATCCTGCCAACGTCTCTGAACCCCTCCCCTCGCCTGAGACACTCCCCCTGAAGCTTGGATGAGTAGAACCTCCCCTGGGGGAGCTCCTTAGGGATCATAGCACCAGATTTGTTAGCACCAACAGGAATGTCGTACTTAATAGAAGTGGATGGACGCACAATGACTGACGCCATTGCAGATTGGGGCTTTCCCCTTGACATCCCTTTCTCTCCGGAGAAGGAGCCTCCTCTCTCTCTCCACGCGTCTGCAGAGGAAGTCATGACGTCCCCGCTGATGGCTGCAGCTACAGAGGTTACCACGGCAGCGTTTCCGTGACCTTTGGTGTCCCTGAGTTCCGGCAGCAGAGTGGGGGGCTTCTGCTGCTCCGCCAACGTCTTGCTGCCAGCTGCCGCTAAGCTTACCGGCTGAATGGGGGTGAGTGTTGGGGGAGACAGGCGTCCACCGTAACTGGCTCTGTCCCTCTCTCGCTCTCTCTCCTTCTCCCGCTCCCTCTCTCGCTCTGCAGCCTCTTTCCTTTCCAGTGCGTGTTGTGTGGGCGGGTGGAAGACGGGCGCTCGGTGGAGAGATGGCATTGCCCTGAGCTGCTGCTGCTGCTGTTGGTGCTGCTGCTGCTGTTGGTGCTGCTGCTGATGGTGCTGCTGCTGCTGCTGCTGCTGCTGTTGGTGCTGCTGCTGCTGTTGGTGCTGCTGCTGCTGTTGGTGATGCTGCTGCTGCTGTTGGTGGTGCTGCTGCTGCTGTTGCTGCTGCTGTTGCTGCTGCTGTTGTTGTAGGTGGTGCTGCTGCTGCTGTTGGTGGTGCTGCTGCTGCTGCTGTTGTTGGTGGTGCTGCTGCTGCTGCTGTTGTTGGTGCTGCTGCTGTTGGTGCTGCTGCTGTTGGTGCTGCTGCTGCTGTTGGTGGTGGTGAAGGTGGTGGTGAGGATGGTGGTGGTTTGGTGCTAAGGAGGAAGATGTAGAGGAGGAAGGAGAGATAGCAGGGCTGTGGCGCTCCATCCTGTCTAAACCTGCATGATGCTGGTGCTGCTGTTGCACCAGAGTCACCTGCTGGCTGAGCTGCTCATTGATCTTCCCCGCTAAACCCTCCCCCCCCTCTGGCTGGTGCTTGATGAGAGGCGGGGGCTTGGAGAGGGAGGCTTTGGAGCTGTAGCTGCCCAGGGACAGAGCTCCCTGGCTGGGCACGGCGGCTCCAACGCTGGCCACGACTCCTGGAGCTCCGCTAGAAACGTTCTCATAGTAAGAGCTGAGCTCCTTGGAGGAGTAGAGTCTGGGAGGCTCATTCACTACACTGTTGGACAGCGTGGTGAAGTAGTTGCTCTTTTCTGATTGGATAACGTGGGGATGGATGTGGCCCGCCTTGGGGTTTGGGGAGGAGAGTGCGGGGACTCGGACAGGGAAGGCTGGGTCTCTGCTCCTCTCTCGGTCCCGGTCCATGCCCGGGTCACTTGAGCGCTGGATCTTAGCCGTGTAGGGAGCCACCTCGATGCTCTCCTTCAGGATCTGCCGATTCTCCTCTTTGTATTTACTGGCTCGATCTGCTGCCTGAACCGCATCCTGTGGAAGAAAATATAAAATAGAATGTTGATTTCTCATTTTCAGACAGACAGATGCAGCACTTCTTCTACAGGTCATTTGATTAACAAGGTAGTGGTGTCCATCTCCCGTACTAAGACAGAGATCACTGTCCCTCAGGGCAGGAGAGAAGGAAACAAATGCCCCTTTTCCACCAAACCAGTTCTAGCTCCGTGCTTATGCTTTTCTGGTTCCGAACCGGTTCTTGTTTTTAGCCCCAGTTGTGTTTCCACCGCCCAGAGCCCGACTGGTGCTGCGTCATGACATCACTGTTTACGTCGCTGATTTTCTCCCCAACGCTGCTCACAACAACAACAATGGGAGGCTGAGTCGGGTTGATGATTGTGTTGCTTTTAATCAGCCAAATTAAATTAAAGAACGACTTCTCACTCCAGGTTCACTTTGAAATCTATAAAGAGAGACTTGGCCTTTATAATTTGGAATTGAAAAACGCACGACAGTCTTTCTTCTCTGACATCATTACCAAAAACAAAAACAACGCACGTGCCTTGTTTGCTACCGTCGACAGACTAACTAACCCCCCATAGTCAGTAGCCTCTGAATTTCTATCCACCAGGGCATGCAATGATTTTGCCTCCTTCTTCACTGACAAAATTCAGAAAATTAGACAAGCAGTCAGTGCCTCTGCATCAGGTACAGCAAATGTGTTGTCCCTATGTCCACCTAATATCAATTCAAACACCATGACACAATTCCATCAGATTAATGATAAAAACCTAGAGGACATTATTCAACTTCTGAAATCCTCCTCCTGCTGCCTTGATATTATTCCAACAGGATTTTTCAAAGATGTTTTTCATTGCATGGCCTCAGATCTACTTCATATAGTAAACACATCTCTTCACTCAGGTATTTTTCCACAGGCCCTGAAAACTGCAGTCATTAAACCGCTCTTAAAAAAGAATAATCTAGATGCTTCAGTAATGAACAATTACAGGCCCATATCAAACCTGCCATTTCTAGGTAAAATCATTGAAAAAGTAGTTTTTCAACAGTTGAGTAACTTCTTTCATTTAAATAACTCTTTGGATGTGTTCCAGTCAGGCTTTCATCCAAACCACAGCACTGAGACTGCTCTTGTAAAGGTCTTCAATGACATCCACTTAAACACAGACAGTGGCAGAACTTCAGTGTTAGTATTATTAGATCTCAGTGCTGCGTTTGACACTGTTGACCACAACATATTACTAGACCGACTAGAAAACTGGGTGGGACTTTCGGCAACAGTTCTAAATTGGTTTGAATCCTACTTAAAGGACAGAAAAAACTTTGTTTCTATAGGTAAATACACATCTGAGTTGACAAATATGACATGTGGGGTACCTCAAGGCTCCATCTTGGGGCCTCTTCTCTTTAACATCTATATGCTACCACTGGCTCAGATAATGAAAAACAACAAAATAAGTTACCATAGCTATGCGGATGACACACAAATGTACGTAACAATTTCACCAGGAGATTATGCTCCAATTCAAACACTGAGTAAGTGCATTGAACAAATCAATGACTGGATGTGTCAGAACTTTCTCCAATTAAACAAAGATAAAACTGAGGTAATAGTTTTTGGAGCCAAGGCAGAACGTATAAAAGTTAGCGCTGAGCTTCAGTCTGCAATGTTCAAAACAACAGATAAAGCCAGAAATCTAGGTGTAGTCATGGACTCTGACCTGAGTTTCAACAGTCACATTAAAACAGTTACTAAATCAGCCTACTATCACCTAAAGAACATAGGATTAAAAGACTAATGTCACAGCAGGATTTGGAAAAACTTGTCCATGCTTTTATCTTCAGTAGACTCGACTACTGTAATGGTGTCTTTACAGGTCTCACTAAAAAATCTATTAGAAAGCTGCAGCTAATTCAGAACGCTGCTGCTCGAGTCCTCACTGACACTAAGAAAGTGGATCACATCACTCCTGTTCTGAAGTCCTTACACTGGCTTCCTGTGTGTCAAAAAATAGATTTCAAAATATTGTTGCTGGTTTATAAAGCTTTGAATGGTTTAGGCCCAAAATACATGTCTGACCTACTGCTAAATTATGAACCATCCAGAACTCTCAGGTCTTCAGGGACTGGTCAGCTTTCTGTCCCCAGAGTCAGAACTAAACATGGTAAAGCAGCATTCAGTTATTATGCTCCAAATATCTGGAACAAACTCCCAGAAACCTGCAGGTCCGCTGCAACTCTGACTACTTTTAAATCCAGGCTGAAGACTTTTCTTTTTGCCGCTGCTTTTAATTGAACTATTCACATCTTAAACTGCACTGTAACTTTTATCCATGTATTTTTTCTTTTAATGTTTATTTTATTATCTTTTCTTTTTAATGACTGATTTTAAATGCCATTTTCTTAATGTCTTCCATTTTTGTAAAGCACTTTGAATTGCCTTGTGTTGAAAGGTGCTATATAAATAAACTTGCCTTGCCTTGCCTTGCCTTGCCTTCTCCAAAGTTATACTCTTTCTCCAGATTGCCGTGTTTCATTGTTATTAATGTGGTTCAGCTGCATTTACCGACCGCTGCAGTGCTGCTCGTCCACCGGAGTTTATTCTACCGTTAACTCACGGCAGAGTTTAGTCTCCCGTTAACTCACGGCAGAGTTTAGTCTCCCGTTAACTCACGGCAGAGTTTAGTCTCCCGTTAACTCACGGCAGAGTTTAGTCTCCCGTTAACTCACGGCAGCGGCCGCTGGAAAGTATTCACTGTCTGACTGTCACACAAGCAGCTGATACATATCCCCAGTTCCCCTTAAGTGAATGTGTGTCAGTCTGAATTGACGCTGTTTGGCATCACAACGCTGTTATGAAAGTTTCTCTGGTATAAAATGGCTGATGTTAGCATAGCAACTGAAGCTAATTTGACTATCTTGACTACTTGCTATCCTTTTGGGCATAAGCCGTTTTCTACAGGCATATTTTACCGGCGTATTTGTCATTATCATACTAAGCGTGGTTAGTGTTGCCTGACTTTATAAAGTGTGTTTTTTTTATAAGTGTGTGGTCGCGTTCTAGTCCCTTTGCTCAGCGCTACTGCTTGTTTCCTTTTATTTGCCGTACTCGCCAGGAACTGTTATTGCTCAGGTTAATCTCGCCCCCCTCCGACGTAAGCGTTACGTATTGGTTCTTGGTTCTTCTTGCCGGGCAGCCGAGTGGGGCCGGCTCTGCTGCGGTGGAAACAGGAAGAACCAGAGCTTAATCAGAGTCTAGCCCGGAACCGGCCCTGCAACCGGTTTGGTGGAAAAGGGGAAAAAGTGTTCTTATTTATTAAAAGAAGGAAAAATCATCTGGTAATATATGAGTTATTTTAAACCATATTTCCACCACACAGATCATTTTTTTTACCTTTTAGGCTTTTCTTTTTTCTTCATCAGTATTGCATGTTGACTCTCAGTGTTTGATATCAGTTCCGTTTCCTAATCGTCTTGTCTTGAACAGAAGGTCGTTGCTGAACATCTTTTCTCAGTTTTGTTAACAAAATGTCTCAGCCCCATGCGCACATGTATCAGTCTTTTTGATAGCATTAAATTAATTTATGTATGATTATTTGTATCCATTTTATTTTTTATTTTGAAATATCAAGTAGTTATTTGGCCTTATATATGACAATATACAGTTACTCAAATTACAATGAGGTTTCTACACAGTTGAAAATGTTTGTAATACTACTACTCTATGGCCACTGCTACGTCAGATGCTAGTGCAGCTGTGTACTTGCCATGCGGGCCTTGCTGTGGGGGTCCATGTAGAGGCGGTGCAGGTGGACTTCTTTCCCTGTGGGGGTGCGACTCCTGTCTGACTGCTCCTGCTTCAGCTGGGCCAGTGTCAGCGTCCTGATCGGGTCCACAAAGCCTTTCTTATCCATCTCCCTGCAAACAGACAAGTCAAACATTTAACAAGTCATCACGTTTCACAAGGTTCCCTTATAGATTTCAACCAACCAGGACAGGAAATGACAGCCCAGTGTTTTTTGTGAATGCATGACATTCTTAGGTAACATCTAGTTTAGGCCATCAGCAGGGTATTACTGGCTGCGCAGCAGATCTTAATGCACATGACATAACTAGGCTAATGAGAGAGACGGGTGGTGTGTGATGCTGTGTGTTTGTGTATTCGCTGGTGTCTAAACAATGGCCGGTGGTTACATAAGGAGAGCTGCTGAATGGATGGATTCTGTCTGAACTGTTAATATTGGATTTGTGTAACTTCAGTTCATCTGCCTGACCGGGCATTGCCTGTCTGAGTCTCAGCGCTGCTCTGTGTGAACCCTCTCTCGAAACACATCTAGCTTTAAGCAGGAAAGGGCATACTGATCAAACACACAAAGCAGCCATTGTTTGCCCCACCTTGCTTCCTCCCAAGCGCTTCTCTGAACCCTCTCTAGGTCAGAGGAAGGCTGCGTGTCCCCTGTGGCCCTCTGATTGAGAATGACTATCTTCTTATCAGCCTATTATCTAATAATGCTGAATAACGTGTGAAAATAGTTTTAGATGTACATGTTAAAAACTGGTCTTTTACTCACTCTTTATGTGCGTTCATGCTGGCCTTTGACAGTGGAGGGCTGGCGTGTGTGTTCATCTTGACGGAGGGGCGGTGGGGATCGGCACTGGCAGGCCGTACAGGAACGTGGCTCAGAAGACCCAGACCATCAGCCCCCCCCCCAGCCTGGTGCAGCCACGGACTGGCTGTATTCTGCACACATTCCACACACATAAAACATGTTAAAATAATTACCAATGGTTAAAAAATTATTTTTAGTTAAGTCAAAGTTTTGCTAGATCCTGTATAAGTCAAATACTACTATACTACTAAAAGTTAATATTTTCACATATAGCTTTCAAGCAATTTAATGCCAACAGCAACATCCATCTGATTTCGTTTCAGGGGTTTCCTCATTAATTTGCCCGCCTGCCACAATCTGTTTTTTCCTCCATCCCATCCCTCCCTCTCTCCATTCAAATGTTCTCCTTGTTCCAGGGTAAACCACAGGTTTGCATGCACAAGTCCTCCAAACGGACAGAAACGAGTTAACATCCGTACACCTACCCTCCTGAGAGACACTTCCGAATTCACAGGATTGTCAGGGTGGACCCACTTGGCTGTGGGGGGCAGGTTGAGCCCTGGGGGGTAGGAAGAAGGTGTTCCGTTGGGGTACTGCCAGAGGATGGGGTAGAGGCCCAGCCCTGCGGCCCCGCTGTGGGCCTGGGCTAGTAGAGGGGGGCCCTGAGCCTGAATACAGAGACAGAGTTGTACGTTTATTATCTTTTTGACAGAATGGTGTAAATAATGAGTAAATTCTCATGTGCTCATTGGATAAATTCACTTCCTGGTTCCCATCTTCCCCCCAATCAACCCTAGATATGGATATTATATACACTGTGTTACTTTTAAGTGAAAAACATAAATTCTTATAAATGTGCCAACCTTTTTATAATGTCTCAACACTTAAATATGTTACTTATGTCAGTTTGTTTTTTGTAAATTGCTGATACTCATTTTTTGCCATGGTTGTGTACTTATTTGTCTTTATTTCTATTTAATATAATGCAGGGATGCAAACTCATCAGGTATGAAAAAGGTGACAAGGATCAGGAATATCGGCTTTAAAATGAGGAATAACAGAGGATTTTAGCAGTCAGAACAACTAAAGCAGCAGTGTTAATAATAACAGAAACGCTAAAGAGTCACATCTAATAGAAATATATTTAAGCATTTATTTGAATTGTGTAGCAGTCAGTTTATAATTTTGGCAGCACTGTTGAGCATTTTGAAAATGTATTTTCATGCCTCTGTGCAAGGCTTAGTCTTTCTATCTTTATAGCCACTGGTGTAAAGTAACTAAGTTCATAAACTCAACAAGTACTATACTTGGGTACAATTTTGAGATACTTGTACTTTATTTAACTATTTCAATGTTTTGCTACTTTGTTCTTCTTCTCCACTACAGTTCAGAGGTAAATGGTGTACTTCTACTCCACTACATGTATTTAATACCTGTAGTTACTTTACAGATCTGGATGAATGATGTGAAATATAATCAAGTGTTAAATCAGACTTTAGTTCCACCTGGAGTAAATCCACAAGCTACCCTGCAGTATACAAAGTCATTCAAACTAGCTGCACCTTTACCAGCTTTGAGAACACTTTAATGATCAATCATTATAAAACATATCATATATATTATTCTGAAATGGACCGATCTGCACAATCACTACTTTTACTGTCACTACTTTAACTATATTTTGATGATGATACTTTTCTACTTTTACTTGAGGAACATTTTGAATGCAGGACTTTTACTGTAACAGAGTATTCCTACACTCTGGTACTTCTACTTTTACTCAAGAACAAGATCTGAGTACTTCTACTTGTACTCAAGTACAAGACCTGAGTACTTCAACTTTTACTCAAGTACAAGATCTGAGTACTTCTACTTTTACTCTAGTACAAGATCTGAGTGCTTCTACTTTTACTCAAGTACAAGATATATACTTATACCACCTCCGTTTATAGGCTATGAAAGAAACTATTTGAAAACGAAGGCTAAAGCTAACGTTAGCAGATAGTGACAATGTATGCTAGTTAGCTAGCTCAACGATTAATTCAATAATATTGCGACAGAAACACTTTTCAGCGCACATCACGCTCTGCCGCTCCGACAGGCCCGTTCTAACAGCTGTTCACCAGCGGTCCAGTCTGTGCCACAGTGACTCCGGACCTCACAGTTAATATTAACGAACGCACCCGTAGGTAATGTAGCTGCTAGACTCTCATCACGGAGCAGCAGAGCCTTATTATACATCCATGAGCAGAGCCGACAGGCAGGAAGACTTGTGCTCGCGCTTCATTATAATATATAAAAAAAGAACACCATGCGTGTCATGATGGCACATAACAGCTCGCGGCCGCAGATTACTCCGGGTCCCAGACCCCCCCCCATACCCCAAAAATATTTGTATTGCAGATCTACATGAATCACACAAACGACCTATTTTGGAATCAAAACGGCGAATTTCGCCGAAAGGTGACAAGTTTGCATCCCTGAATAATGTGTGCTTTCCTTCTCTATATTTAAAATGAGCTAGCTCTTTACACAGCCTTTTTACCTGGTATGCCACTTTTGCTGTAAAACAGTACATTTCCCCGCTGCGGGAATAATTAAGGAATTCTGATTCTGAACAGTCTTGGCCATTGCAGTTTAACATGGCGGGTTGGTGTGTATCTAATGTTTATGTGTGTATGTGTGTGTATGGAGTCACACCTGTAGGAACTGCTGCTGGTGTACGGCGGCTGGGTGAGGCAGACCAAGGTGACCCAACCCGCTGGGGGAGTCAAGACGTGGGTGGCCCCCGAGAAGAGAGGCTGTGGGCGGAGGCATGGCGGGGAGAACCCCGGGGGGTAAAAGGTGCGGGTGAGGTAGGGCAGAGGTGTGAGGAGGGGCAAGGAGATGGGAGGTATGGGGGTGCGATGCGGAGGTGAGGCAGGGGGAGTGAGGGGAAGGGGAGTGAAGAGTGTGCAGGTGGGGGTGGAGATAAGCTGCCACGTGGTTGGAGGAGATGCTGACAGAGACAGAGTTCTCTGCGGCTGAACGCACCAGGGCGGGGTCTCTGTAAACCGTGAACGTCTCGTTCTTATCGATGATGAAGGGGCTCTTCGTGCTGCTGACCCCACCAGACTCCAACCGCACCGGCACTGGCTTGAAGCAGGACCGCGGAGGTTCTGCTGGTTCTACTTTAGCTGACAAACGACCTATCGGCGGAGGGGAGGGGCCAGAGTATCGCTGTATTTTATGTTTGGAGACCTCTGGGGAGGTGTTGGGTTTGGGTTTGGAGATGTCCAGCAGGCCCGGGTGGGGCTTAGCTTTGAGAGGCTCAGCTGGGGTTGTGTTTGGGTAGGGATGGCTCTGAGAGTTGTTGGGGTGCTGGGGTTTCTGTTTCAGGGAGTCGAGTTGCGCTGGGTTGGGGCTGGTTTTGGATTTGAAGTCAGGAGGGATGGCTGCATTGATCTTGTTGGGGGGTGGGTGCTGCTGGGGGGGTTTTCTCGTCTCCTCAGACAGAGAAGGGCTATTAATGCTGGGGTGGACAGATGTGTAGTGTTGCTTCTGTTGTGTGTGCTGTTGCTGCTGTTGCTGCTGCTGCTGCTGTTGCTGATGCTGAAGATGATGAGGAAGGACAGGTTTCTCCTTCTCCACTAGCAACACATTTTCAACCATCGATGTGACAGGCCTAAAAAAAACACAGAAAAAACGTATTTTAGATTATGTAAATTTAAAATGATCTTTATTTTTGTATTTACACTTGAGCTTTTGGGGGACAAAGACTTCAGACAAAGAAAACTAAAGCACAGCAAAGCAACCTTGTATTTAAAATAACACTATTTAAATGCAGACTTAAACACAAATCAACACAAAGGGTCCTCTATCCTCTAGTACCCTCAATAGTCACCAGTCAGAAGTCAGTTCCAGCCACTGAACATCTGACAGTTTGAAAACTTCAGTCACATTCACATTTCACAAAGGAAGGAAGGACGGTTCTTATCAACCCCCAAACACTTCCACCAGAAATCAGGAAGTGGTGTATTGCATCACTACAACAGTTCAAAAAGCAACCATGGCTCCGACCTGCTGCATGCATATGCAGATGTATTATTCACAGTGATCACCTGATCTTTCTGTATTCTATACTGCGTCTCATTTGAAGGCCAGACTGTTGCAAATATCTGGTACCATTTTGAGAATCAGATTTTCTATCTCACTACAAAAGTCAGCCATCATATCAGGACATTCAGAGGGGCTATATTTATAAACTGAACTGAAGCCTTCTGTTCTCACCTGATGACCTCAGAGGGAGCAAACTCCATCTTGTTTCCTGAGCTCCGGGCTGCTGTCGTGCCGCCTCCTGTAAGGCCATGCTGCTGCTGCTGTGCGGAAGGCTCAGTCTCTGCCTTGCGGCCTCCTTCTGAAGGCGAAGGAGACGGAGGGACGGGAGGCGAGGACACAGGGGAGGGGTTGAGGGGGAGGTAAGGTGAGAGTGCCGTGGACTCTGCATTCTGTGAGGCGAGCAGCGCTGACACCGCCTCGGAGCTCTCCTGGTGCACCGTGGCCTGAGCCTCTTCTGTGATGTCGGTCACAGCGCCGCCGCCGCCGGGCTGGGACACCGCCGGCGTCTGGGACTGAGAGGACGCTGCAAAAAGAGTTATACAGTAAGAATACTGTGCAGGCTTGGGGAGTAACTGCTTTACAGAATTAGGATACATGTGCATTTTATGAACACAACTATATCCTATGCTGCACAAGCACACACATAATAACATAATATCACCCGCTGAGTTCCCATTACTTTGTTTTGTTTTGTACTTTTCAGTACAAAAAAGTACAAAAAGTCATAGAAGATCTTTCTTCATAGGAGTAAGCAAACAATATTTAATTTCTGCTTAAGAAATTATAACACACGACAACCGAGACATTTGTTCATATAATTTATATGGGTACTACTGCTGCTCCAAGTTGAAATCAGACAACTTGACAGCATTTTTACAGCTGAAAGGCAGAACTTTGCATATTTGGTATTGAGGTAATCCAAAAGTAATGAAAAGTAATGAATATACGTGAACATAATATTGTGATAAGTGAATCAGGGTACTGACTACATTCTGTTCACAACTCATTAGTAATTGTGCTGTAATCCTTTTTAAAGTATACTGTAAATATACCTCTACCTTTCACAGTGTTCTTGCTGCTCTCCATACTGCCTGCCTGAAGACTGTCAGGCATCACAGGCGTTTGTTGCCGTGGAGACTGGGTGATCTGTGTTACCGCGACCAACTCCTCCTCCTCCTTTGTTGTAATTTTGCTCGTTTCCTTAACCACGCCCTTCTTAGTGTCCTCCTGAAGCTCCGCCCACGGGGAAAGGCGACCAATGAGAGACGAGGATTCATTCATTTTGTTGGCCGGCATCAGCGGCTTCTCCTCTTCCTCCTTTTTGGAAACAGCGCTTTGTTTCACATCACTGCTGCGAGTCTTTAGCTCGTTCTCAGAGTTGGGCTCTGAGGAGGAGGAAGAGGAAGATGAGGAGGATGAGGAGGACGATGAGGACGAAGAAGAGCACGAGGAGAGGGCAGCCCTCTTGTTGAGTGGGTTCTCTGAGTCACTGCTCTCTGATAGGTCCGAGGTTATGTCCGTCTTCAGCCTCTTTAGACTGGCCTTCTTCTCCTCTTCCTCGCCCTTCCTGCGTTTGTTTACTGCCTGCTTAGCCTTTTTGGACTCTGGACAAGAAAAGAAAAACAAATTATTTTTCAATCACAGCTTGAGTTCACTCTACCACCTGCTGTTGTTTATTGTTGATTAGGAGTTATACAAATGCTCTCCTTAGAACAATTTTTGCAAATCAGTTATGTGATACAATTGTTTGAATCATAAACCGAAAGCACTTCAATGTGTTGTATGTTGAAGGTGCAGTTTTAGGAACACTTCCCCGCTAAATGGATATAAATTAAAATCCAGAATTGTCAATTTAATTTAATCGCTGCTTTGAGAACAGCCTGGAATACCTATAATTCCTGTGTTTTCCTGACTTCTCTTGGATATTACGTTAGTGTATTGCTTTGTGGACACTTGTATTTTTTCATGTGGTACAGTGTGACAAAATACAGCTCTTATTTAAAAGAACTTCAATAAAATGAAGACCAAAACAAAGATACTACTTGTTTACTGTGGATTCGCTCTGTGGACATTTTAAATGATCAAAAACAACAGCTGTTATCTCCTGTGATATGCTGAGCAACAACAGATATAAAGAAAATATATGCACATAGCCACACACAGACATACACATTTTGCTGTATTAATATTAAGATTAATGTAGCAAAGGGTCAATTTCCCTCCCCGTGTGAAAAATAAAGGAATTCTGATTGTGATTCTGATGGTAGGAAGCCTCTGACTAGTATCTGGTGCTAAGCTAGCTGCTAGCGTGTGGCCTGTCCTCACCTCTGGCTGGGGGCTCCTCTCTCTTGTCCTCCTCTGGAACGCTGCTGTCCGATCCTTTCCTCCTGGAGGAGCGGGCGTTGCGCTGCTCTCTCTGCTCCCTCGCATTGCCGCCGGGCGAGTTGTGTGATTGGCTGGCTGTTTGCTGGCTTTGTTGTGACTGGCTCTGCTGCTGCGAGGCCTGGGTCCCCTGGGAACCTTTCGCGTTGGGGCCTGATGAGATCATGATGGGACGGGGGCTGTTGGCCTGGGCTCGTGTGTAATGGCTCTGGAAGTTTTAATAAAGTCACAAGTTAGATAACACAAAGAAACATGCCTGTTTATTTAATACAACTCTGTAGTTTAAAGGGGACCTATCATGCAAAATGCACTTTTGTACGCCTTTTATACATGAATATGTGTCCCCGGTGTGTCAGGGAACTCACCAAGTGTCAGAAAACACAACCCTCTCTCTTTTCCTCCATACCCAAATCTCTAAAAACGGGGCTGCAACGGATCTGATACAGACTGATACAGATTTGAAAATTCTCTGACGTCAGGAACGAGGAGCTCCGCCTATATGGCCAACTCTCCACCTATCAGGGGAATGTGGGGTTGGGCCACGGCCGGCCATTGCCGCTCGAAAGCGCTGGAGACGCTGTAGTACATATGCCAGGCCTGTAAGTGGCGCTGTAGTCTGCCACAAAAGCAGCGAAGAAGACTTCCCGTGCATGGTTGCCATGGTTGCCCTTCTGTTTATTCTCCGCTGTGGCTTTTTTTTCTCCCTCCCCGAGACAAGCGTTTGCTGCTGCTGCTGTAATTCAATGCAATCCCTCCCCGTCGAGGCAAGCACTGTAATTCTCTCCGGTAGTCCACCAGCAGATGACAAACACCCACCTCTCCGCCTCTTCCAAGGAACGAGGGGACCGTGCGGCAGATTTAGATTTTTTTCCGCCGGTCAACATGTCCGTTAAAGTTTAAATCTTCCGGACAAAATTAGAAAAGTGCTGGTCAAAGGTCTTCTTTGTTATTTATTGAGCTTTAAAACAAATGAATAATGACTCTATATAATCATATAAGAATAAAACACGGAGGACGGAGATCTCTTTTTCTCCCCCTCTTCTGACAGCCCAGCAGCTGATCTCAAAGCACGCTCCCCTCTCCTGTAGGGGGGCGTGGTCAGCTGCAGCTCATTTGCATTAAAGCTACGTCACAGAATCAGCCCTTGCAAAAACAGGGCTAAAAAAGAGCAAATAGAGCGAAATGAGGCATGGCTAAAATGCATGATCTGTTTGGTATTTTGAAAAAAAAACTTTGCAGACATGTTTTATATAGGTATGGCCCTTCAATATATTATTCAAATATAGCATGATAGGTCCACTTTAATGCAATCCAGTATGATCACCATGCAACAAATTCAACTTGTATTTTTTTTTTTTATTGGATTTTATCTGTAAACAAATGCAGTCTAATCCAAACGTTTTTCAGTAATGCAGACATAAAGTTTATAATGATTGTTTTTATTGTTTTGTTTTGTTTGTGTTTTTGTTAAGATTGTATGGATACATTTTGAAGACTTTGGGATGCTGCTAATGTTATTAGAGTCCTAGGTTGATGTCAAAATGCAGCTGTGAGTGCAATATCAAAGTGAACTAGAGAATGCAATTCCTGAATAAATTGCTAGTGGGAATGCTTTATGCTGAAAATCTGACGCTAAACTGCTATGCTGAAATGTAATGTGTAAGAAGAAAGTGAAGAATTTAGATTGAAATGATACATGAACACTGGGGGCTTGAATGTGTGATGAGAGAAGAAAAGAAAGTAAAAAGGCTTGGAAAAGCAGCAGAATATTTGAACTGCAAACTTTTGAACTAACTTGATGGTGAATGATCTGTCGCCATGCCAACGGCATTTGATGACATCCCATAATACGCTTAGATGTGTGGATGGCTGCATCGTTACCAAACCTGTGAAGTTTTGGGCTGTTTGGAGCATTTTCACTGAAATTATGAGAAAACCGTGTTTCATGGCGAGCCTTGTGTTACCATGGCAACAGCATTTGAAGAAACCCCATAATTGACGTAGAGCTGTTGAGGGCTGTACCGGTGATATACAAGTGAAGTTTGGAGGACGATCGGACCGTGTCCATTGGACTTACAGCGGCATCGTGCTTCATGGCGAGTGGTCAGTCGCCATGGCAACGGCATTTGATGACACCCCATAATACGGTTAGATGCGTTGATGGCTGCATCGTTACCAAACCTGTGAAGTTTTGGGCCGTTTGGAGCATTTTCACTGAAGTTATGAGAAAACCGTGTTTAATGGCGAGCATTTTGTTGCCATGGCAACGGCATTTGAAGAAACCCCATAATTGAGGTAGAGCTGTTGAGGCATGGACCGGTGATATACAAGTGAAGATTGGGGGACGATTGGACCGTGTCCATTGGACTTACAGCGACATCGTGGTTCATGGCGAGTGGTCTGTCGCCATGGCAACGACATTTGATGACACCCCATAATACGGTTAGATGCGTTGATGGCTGCATCGTTACCAAACCTGTGAAGTTTTGGGCCGTTTGGAACATTGTGTGTGAGAGAGAGAGAGAGTGTGTGTGTGTCTGTGTGTGAGAGAGAGAGAGAGAGAGAGAGATAGCAGTAAGAGAAGAGAGAGATAGAGATAGAGCTCGAGCTATCGCTCTATCTATCTCTCTTCTATCTCCTCTACTATCTCTCTCTTACCTCTCTAAGATCTCTCTCCTCTCTCGTGTAACTTCTCTCTCATCTCTAACTCTCTCCTCTCTCTCTCCTCTTCGCTCTCTCATCTCTACTACTCTCTCTCGTCTCTCTCTCCTCTCTCTCTCGTCATCTCATCTCTCTCTCTACTCTCTGACTCTCTAATCCGTCTCTCTCTCCTCCTCTTGAGACGATTAGTAACTGACTGCTGTCAGTTGGAGTGATGACATCATCGTGTTCCATTACACAGGTGTTTATAGTTGAGCTAACGAGCTCTGTAGAGATCAAAGGTTTGCATTGTTCTGAATGAGAGATGAACCTCTTACATGTGAACGTTTTGTGGAAGAACGATAACAGATATCTGTGAAATTTCAAAACGTGAAGCATGTCAAGGAAGTTGAGTATCTGAAGTGTCATTTTTGTGTACTTTCGGGTTAATAATGTGGCCTTTTTGGCAGTTTAACTAAAGGTGTGCGGCTGCTGCTGTGAGGAAATATCAGCCTGAAATTACAATGGGTTTTAATGGAGACATGTTGAACGTTTTTGTCACTTCATGCCCTCAAGAGGCATTTTGTTTAATTATTTTGCTTAATTATTTGTCATTTTTCAAGCTACGAGATGTTTTGCTACGTTTGTCATGAAAAATTATGTCTCAGGAATGTAGGGTTTGGGAATTATGGCAGTTTAAAAAAAATATATGAAGGCAAATTTCAAGATTTCCTACCCTCTAGCTGTGACATCACGCACTCTGCCTTAACGAGCTGCGCAATGTTAAAGTTAAAATGTTAAAAATGTGATGAATTATGGGATGTATCTCTGGAATTATGAAAGTTATGAATGATAAAAGTAATAGCCTGCGATTCCCGACCGAGCTGAACGTTTTGATGTTTGAACGGAGTTTCTGCGATGTTGAATGTGGGAGGAGAAGAGGTCCAAAATAAGTCGGCGGAATAATAAACTTTTTGTCCGTAGCATAACATATAGTTGGAATGCTGTATCAGCATTCCCACTAAATTACAATGGGCTTTAATGGAGGCATGTTGAAAGTTTTTGTCACTTCATGCCCTCAAGAGGCATTTTGTTTAATTATTTTTGCTTAATTATTTGTCATTTTTCAAGCTACGAGATGTTTTCCTACGTTTGTCATGAAAAATGATGTCTCAGGAATGTAGGGTTTGGGAATTATGGCAGTTTAAAAAAAATATATGAAGGCAAATTTCAAGATTTCCTCAACACTAGCTGTGACATCACGCACTCTAGTTAATGTTAAAATCTGAAGAAGGCCTCTTTACCAAGGTCTGAACAATGTTTAATATCTCTAAAAGTAAGAATCAGATTTAAAAGTTGTGTTACACGAATAATGTCAGAAAGATGTGTAACATTTTAAAGTTGGAATGAGGTTTCTGAGTGAAAGTATGAATGAACAGTTAGCAGTTGAAGTCGCATGAAGATTTGTTGAAGTCTGAAGAATTTCTCCATTGACTTCAATGGTTAAAAATGTGATGAATTATGGGATGTATCTCTGGAATTATGAAAGTTATGAATGATAAAAGTAATAGCCATCGATTCCAGACCGAGCTGAACGTTTTGATGTTTGAACGGAGTTTCTGCGATGTTGAATGTGGGAGGAGAAGACCGGCAAAATAAGCCGGCGGAATAATAAACCTTTTGTACGTAGCATAACATATAGTTGGAATGCTGTTATCAGCATTCCCACTAAATAAGCGATGCATATAACCATAAATAACAATGGTTAGTTTAGTGTTTTTTGACAATCAGCTGGCATATACTTTCACTGCTAGACTTCAATACTGACTGAGAGATGTTTCCAATACTTTACATCACTGAGATTTTTATGAAAGTACAATAAATATAAAAAAAACTTTTCAAAGAAAGCACAAAATGCAGTCTCCAAAATAACCACAACGTGTAATCAACACCTCTGTAAAGGTGGTAAAACAAAAAGTGAACATAAGCATCTTGTTCTTTGTTAACATGACTGTTGGATTAGACTGCATTAGTTTAAGCTTGGTAAGCCTTATACACTGGTTACTAAGTGTATTATTGGATGTGTCGCTAGTAATCCATCCCTCTGTTGTATGGTATGGACACAATTCAATGTAATACAGTCCAACACAACATAATGTTTTACACTCATCACACATTCAAAGTCAGGTAATAGAGCAACAAGAAACAAATTGTAAGATTTAACTTGTTTATTCTAAAAATGTTCCTATGGCATGTTTGTGAACAAAGACCATGGGGAAAGTTGCTTTTCAGTTGTAGTGCAGAGGACATAAAGGTGCAATACATTGAACATTTGTAATTTTTCAAACAGTTTTCTGTTGTTTACTGATGCACGAGTACACATTTATCCTGAAGTTATACTTTGTAAGTCTTTGCAGTGAAGTAAATTAGTAAATTAGACTTCTGAAGCTTAACTCAACAGTAATTTGTGTGAAACAAAGTATAAATATTTCTCTGGAAGTCTTAATATCAATTCTTTCCAACACAGTTGTAATGCTAATATTGGGATGATTGTAGTGGACTAACTTCCCCAACCTACAATCTGCAATTATGCTCCACTGCTACTGTTTGACGTCCAAACAAACAGCAGAGAGGTCACTGTTGAAATACAAACTGGACTTGAGTTGAAGAGCAGCTAAACGCCAGCCGTACTGACTTCTATGGGTTGATTCACTTCTGTCAACATCCATCATCACAACTGGGGCCATGTGTGGTCACACCAAACTATGATGGAGCTGCAGAGTGTGGGAGAGGCAGCAGCCACTAGATGGTAGCGCAGGCAGGAGTTCAGACCTGGGTTGCGGTCGAATAGTCCATTTAGCTTAGGAACCTTCCTAACGGAGTGAAATGACCCGGAAGTCCCTCAGTGGCAGCCATGATAAGTGCCGTTCGAATTCTCTAAATTAAAAGGAAAGGAGGTTTCAAACTTCCTTTATAACCTCCTTTAGCTTAGGAACCACTGGACCTCCCTAACCGAAAGGAGAGGAGAAAATGCTGCCCCACAATGCCTTGCGGCCGCGGCATTTGCCGTCACCCAACAGTCGGCCGTTCACGGAAACAACCGATTATGAACGAGAAATGATATCATGAAAGTTACGGTGCTTATTAAGCATTTTAAAACGTGTGTGGTAAGTTGCCAAAGTGCTTTGTTTTGAACGTTCATCAGTATTATAATCAAAAAGAGAAATATGAACGTTAGTTTTTACTGAAATGATCAAATAAAGTCAACATTTCACAGTCTTTACTGAGCTGTGTGGGGTTTGTTCAACTTTTAAAAGATGTTTGAATGGTGATATACACAGTGATAGATGTTAAGGACTCACGTTTATAATAAATACATTTGTATTGATTTTAAGATCTTTTCATGCAATTGGGATCATTTGTATTAATGTCACTTTCCTTTTTTATTTCAATTCCAACTTTGGTCATGAAGAATATGTTTCTCTGTTGTCCCCGTTCATAAAGCATAAAACAACAGCATCAGAGCACGGTGCAGAGTCTCTAGATGAGTTTACAGTAGTCCCTCGTTCTTATTAAACATCCATGTTGTCGTCCGCCGTATAGAAAACTGTAGTTTCCATAGTTTCCCCACAGCAGCAGACGCACATTTATGACCTCCGCTGGCGCATCATAAACACGTCGGATAGTGAAAGTGCAGTCGGATTCTCTAAAGTACCGCAGTCTCTTCTCCTAAATCCTTTTGAATTCTCCTATTCACTATCCCTTAACCCCATGACGTTTCACTCCGAGGTCAAGGAATAGACGATAGGGTTAGAACTTAGGAGCTGTTTTTTTGGAGTATTCGACCGCAACCCTGGGTAAAGCTGCTCTTTAAATGTTTCACTGTGACATTTCATCTCAGGGTTGTGGCAGATAATTATCTGTGTGCATCCACAGATAGTCTGATAACTGTTCTGTCCTCCTTTGTACTTGCTCTCAATAAAGCATTATCTCCACAGATTGTAACATAAGTTTGGGAAGAGTTACCTGAGTGCTGCCGGTGGTCCCGCTGGGTCTCCCACCCGTCATCTTTAATGTGTAAAAAACAACAAGAAAAAAGAAAAGGTGGGACAAGGAGAGATTGTGTTAATGACTGTGGGACCAGAAGTGACTGGAGAGGTGTTCAGTCTGGTTCACAAGTAAACTCCTGTCTGGAGCCGACCAGTAACCAGCGCAACAGTGGACTGTATGTCTGCATGAGTTTTAACGTTAAGTTAAACAGGAAGCACATAAGAACATGACTTTAAAACTATCTTCATTAGGAAAGCAGAACAATTAGACAAAGAATTCAAACAGAACCACAGCTATGGCCTGACTTAAGAAACAACAATAGATCTGCTTTAGATTGGAATTCCTGTTTTTAAACTGTACATTTGAAATATTTAGGCAGGGATTGGGAGGCTGTGTTGACTATTGTCTCTGAAAAAAAGAAGCACTAACAGACACAGTGGGGACAATGCTGAGGTACATGGAATGGTTGGCCAATGTAAAACCTGCAGGAGTCTCACACCATGACAGAAACACATCATTGGCCATCTATCTACATAGGTAGAGCATGCATGAAGTAGCTAAACATATACTAATATTGTCATAAATGTATAAAATATTCAGCAGATCAATCAATCATGAAAAAAGGTGCCACTGGGCAATATCATGCAGGTTTTAGCTTTGTTGACTGTATGCAAAGCTGCAGTTCATTGTTTTAAATGTACTCAATGTGTGTACATGTTTACTATATAAAACAGCTTAAACTGTTCAATATGATTTTACCCTCTTTAGTGCCACCGCTAGGAAGCTTTAAGTGTATTTTTCGGTGTGTGTGTGTGTGTGTGTGTGTGTGTGTGTGTGTGTGTGTGTGTGTGTGTGTGTGTGTGTGTGTGTGTGTGTGTGTGTGTGTGTGTGTGTGTGTGTGTGTGTGTGTGTGTGTGTGTGTGTGTGTGTGTGCACTCACATGGGCATTGTTGTTGTTGGTGCTGGATCGTGACCTTCTTCTGGAGGTGATACCGATGTTTTCTCCTTTCAGTAGGGAGTGGACCACATCATCCAGAAAGGTCATCTGGATCATAGAGGGATCCACGTTCTGAGGCTCTAGCACCTGAACACACAGCAGATTCACTTTACACTCAGTCTATTCTTCATCATCATCATCTCCTGTTTTTAAAGGTGCTGGATATTAATGAACAAGTAGTTCAGAGTGATCATACTACACTGTGGTGAGGTGTTCTGGTAGCTGAAATCATATGGCTATGTTCAAACAGAGACTGAGAGTCAACTGGTGTCAGTCTACAGTCTTTGGGGGGCAGTAGCTCAGTCTGTAGAGGCCTGGGAACCTGAGGGTCGCCTATTATTAATGTATTAATGTGTTCATCAAAGCTGGTGAAGGTGCAGCTAGTTTTAAGTCCTTAATTTACTGCTGGATAGCATGTGAATTTAATTCAGGTTACTAAAGTATTTTTAAATGTTGATCATATTGGTAATCATTAATCTATATCTGCAAATGTTTGTTCAGAATTTTTCTTCCTCAATTGCCCATGCTAACGACTCAGTAAATGAGCTAGTAGACCATTTTAATTATAAAATAACAAATGTCATGGATACCATTGCTCCCATTAAAATAAAGGAAGTATCTGGCAAGAAAATATCTCCATGGAGAAAAGCTATGACCGTGAGAACAGCAAAAACTGAGTGTAGAAGAGCTGAACGCAGGTGGAGAAAAACAAATCTCCAAGTTCACTTGGAAATATATAAAGAGAGACTCTGCATCTATAATCAGGAAATAAAAAAGGCACGACAGTCTTTCTTTTCTGAGATCATTACCAAAAACAACGTACGTGCCTTATTTGCTACCGTCGACAGACTAACAAACCCCCCAGTGTCAGTAGCCTCTGAATTGCTATCCACCAGGGCCTGCAATGAATTTGCCTACTTCTTCACTGACAAAATTCTGAAAATTAGACAAGCAGTCAGTGCCTCTGCATCAGGTACAGCAAATGTGTTGTCCCTGTGTCCACCTAAAATCAATTCAGACATCATGACAAAATTCCGTCTGATAAATGATAAAGACCTGGAGGACATTATTCAACTTCTGAAATCCTCCTCCTGCTGCCTTGATATCATACCAACAGGATTTTTCAAAACAGTTTTTCATTGCATGGCCTCAGATCTACTTCATATAGTAAACAAGTCTCTTCACTCAGGTGTTTTTCCACAGGCCCTGAAAACTGCAGTCATTAAACCACTCTTAAAAAAGCATTCTAGACGCATCTGTAATGAATAATTATAGGCCAATATCAAACCTGCCATTTTTAGGCAAAATTATTGAAAAAGTTGTTTTTCAACAGCTGAGTCATTTCATGCTTTTAAATGACGGTTTCGATGTGTTCCAGTCAGGCTTTCGACCAAACCACAGCACTGAGACTGCTCTTGTTAAAGTCTTCAATGACATTCATTTAAACACAGACAGTGGCAGACAGACGTTGTCTCTATAGGCAACTACACATCAGCGTTGACAAATATGACATGCGGGGTTCCTCAAGGCTCCATCTTAGGACCTCTGCTTTTTAATATCTACACAGTCACATTACAACAGTTATTAAGTCTGCATACTATCACCTGAAGAACATATCTAGGATTAAAAGACTAATGTCACAACAGGATTTAGAAAAGCTTGTCCAGGCTTTTATCTTCAGCAGACTCGACGACTGTAATGGTGTCTTCACAGGTCTCACAAAAAAATCCATTAGAAAGCTGCAGCTAATTCAGAACGCCGCTGCTCGTGTCCTCACAAACACTAAAAGAGTGGATCACATCAGTCCAGTTCTGAAGTCTTAACACTGGCTTCCAGTCTACCAAAGAATTGATTTTAAAGTACTATTGCTGGTTTTTAAAGCACTAAATGGTTTAGGACCAAATGATATTAACGATCTCCTGCAAAAGTATGAACCATCCAGGAGTCTCAGGTCTTCTGGGACGGGTCTGCTCTCTGTTACAAGAGTCAGAACAAAACATGGAGAAGCAGCATTTAGTTTTTATGCCCCGACCATCTGGAACAAACTGCCTGAATCCTGCAGGTCAGCTGCAACTGTTAATACTTTTAAATCGAGATTAAAAACTAATCTTTTTGACGCTGCATTTGGATGAGTTGTTCAAATTCAAATTGCAGTTTGGCTTTTATCCATGTATTTTATACCTGTTGTGTTTATTTTAATATCTTTGCTTTTTAAAATGCCTGTTTTTAAATGTGCTTCCACTGTATTTATTCTTAAATGTCTTTTATTTTATTTTGTAAAGCACTTTGGGTTGTCGTGTGCTGAAAGGTGCTGTATAAATAAACTTGCCTTGCCTTGCCTTGCAAAGTAGCTTAAGGTCTGAACTGTAGTGAAGCAGAAGTACAAAGTAACATAAAATGGTCATACTAAAGTACAAATACCTCAAAATTGTACTTAAGTACAGTACTTCTACTTCGTTACACAACACCACTGGGGTGTGTGTGTGTGTGTGTGTGTGTGTGTGTGTGTGTGTGTGTGTGTGTGTGTGTGTGTGTGTGTGTGTGCGTGTGTGTTTGTGTACCTGGTCATTCATAACGACCATGTTTCGACTGAAGAGGTCGTGGTGTGTAATGATGCCAGTGAACCACTGGGTGGCCGAGTCTTGTCTGTACACCCGCACACGGTATCCATTCAGAGAGTAGGGACCTGAAACAACAGGAAGGCGTTCACCAGTGTCAGAGTGCTGGGGTATCAGCCCAGCTACAGCCGGCCCCTGTTAGAGGAGACCCAGTGCAGTCACTAGCTCTGATGACTAAAACACACAGTGCAAGTTACAATGTAAACCTGTAGATACATTGTTAGAGTGGTATCCACAGAGAATCAGAATTCCTTTATTTGTCCCGCAACTGGAAAATGTACAGCAAGAGTATAGTGCAGACTAAGCAAAAAGAATAGACTTACATGAACACGTATTCACACATCATTAGTAATACAAAATACAAATAACTGTACACAAAACTAAGTAGCAGTAAATAATAAAAAAGTGACTATATCAAAAATAAAATCTTGAAGTAGCTGGTAATGTTTACAGACTGTAAATAAATTGAAAGAAAAACAAAAGGGTTGATTGCACGAGGTTATATTGCACAGAGTTCTATATTCACAGGCAGTGTTATTGAACACAGAGAGTCATACTTGGCTATATAATAAGCGTAATAAAAAGCTTACCTTGCATAAAAATCTCCTGCACCTTCTGGTCTTTGAGCCAGCCTCTCACTTCGTCATGGAGCTGATGGTTGTCTCTTAGCACTGGGTTCAGACTGTCCACCTCATCCTGAGACACACACACACCAACACACAGCATATCAGAGGATCAGCATCAAACACACTCACACACAAACTTATTTAAAACAGTTCACTAAACATATTAGATAGCCCAAGTCTGAGTAATACAACTATTCCAACAGGAACAAACCCTGCTCAGGAGCCAGTGTTAATGAGGGCAACCGCAGGCTTTCTGTTTGCAACTGGTGGACACAAATAAACGCACACAATTCCTCTGATTTTATCCATAATATCATTCCAGATTCCTGTGGGAACAATTAATTCTATAACTGTCCCATCATACTCTAACTGGACAGACTGAAAATGTATTGTACCGTAAACACATAAAAAGGAAGTGCAGATATGAACGCAGCACATCTGGAATTCACTATGGAACTACACACACATTCACAGAGACACAGCAGCAAAGAGGGGATGAGCTTTGAGAAGAATGAATGAAAGAGCAGGCCTGTTTGCTACACACTTTGCCAGAGAGAAGGAAGAACACTTGAAAAGACCCTTTTGTGATTTTAATGAAACAGATGATAAAACACAGAGGACAGATATCAATATCACAGTCTCCACTCAAACACACAAAGCACCCATACATGATGCTGACAGATGACAGGGGGAGGAAGAGAGCAAACCACCGTCACCACACAGCTCTACTGTCTGTGTGTGTGTGAGGGTGTGTGTGTGTGAGGGTGTGTGTGTGTGTATATGTGTGTGTGTATATATATATATATTTATGTATACAGTAGATGTTGTAATTGTACAAAGCTTTGGCAACACTGTATGTCATTATGTTATTGCCAATAAAGCTATTTGAATTGAGTTGAATAGCATATCAATGGCATTTTTTCTAAGTGGTTCAGGACAGAAGTCTGTCTTTTTTTATTGATACATAATCTGTATATTAGTGAAAAAGAAGGCACTTCCTGTCAGCCAGAAGAACTCTAGTGAGCTTTAATGCAATCTAAATCTAAAAGTATTTAAATATTTCCGATTTGTATCATCCATCCAACTAATAATCTGAGTTAGCTGACTTTCATTAATCAGAATCAGAATCAGAATCATTAATCCTTATCCTTGTACAAAAAATAAACGTTTTGATATCAGGACATACATATACAGTTTTGTCAGACGTGAAAAATGGCAAAAGCTTCAAATATCAGTTTAAAATGACAACATACAGTGTCTTTACATATACTGTATGGACATATACATTTGAAATAGTTAAAAAAACTCCAACAGCAAAATGTAGCATTTGCCTTTACAAGCAAAACAACATATTTCTGTGTGTGTGTGTGTCGTCCTGCTGCAGTGTTCTAGTTTCCCAGCCTTGTTCAGCTCTAAATGAAACCAGCTTCCACACTATAAATAGCACACTGAAATGCAGTGCTAGAGAGGTCTGCATACACATCTTTAGGCCCCGGCTCCACGAGGACAAATACGGCAAAACGCATCGGAGTAACGCAAATGCAACCGCAAAAAACCTCCCGTCCCCACGCAATATACACCGGATTGTGTCAAGCTCCACGAGACGGCTCCGTTTACATCCAAACGCTGGAAAAGCTGCAGTACATATGCCGAACCTGTACGTGGCGCTGTAACTTCCTCCACAAAAGCAGCGAAGAAGAATGGTTGTCATGGCTGCACTTCTGTGTATTCTCCGCGGTGGGGGCCGACAGAACCGAGCAGAGTTTTTCGCCGGTCAGCGTGTGTTAAAGTTTAAATCTTCCGGACAAAATTATAAAAGTGCCGGTCAAAGGTCTTCTTTGTTATTTATTGAGCTTTAAAACAAATGAATAACGACGATATAATGATATATAATCATCAAATACACGGAGCCTGTCTCTTTTTCCTCTCTTCTGACAGCGTCCGTGTCTGTCTCATGCAGCAGCTGATCCTGTAATGAGTGACCCGACAGTAAAAATAAACATATTTATAACTAGTTTAGGTAGTTTGAGAGGTCATTAAAATAGCTAAGGGTGATGATCTGACTTGAAGTGTGTGTTTTGCTCCCGCTGCATCACAGCGGCAGGAGCTGCGTGTCTCCGTCCTGTCAGATTAGACTTCACTCGCATTTATGTCCATATCGAGATAAAGATAAATAATCTGAATTCAAGGAGGAGCTCCTGTAGATGTTGCACAAAGAACTGTAGCATGGTCAGTAGCGACTGGAGCACGATAGCAACCCTGCGGGGAAGAGGCGGGGCTATGAAAACGAATGACCGTATAGGCGACTCCACGGCCCCGTTGGACCCCCCAGAGCGCTCCGTTCCCAGATCTATCCACCTTTGGACCCGTTGTCGTTTGCGGGGTCTGTTTCTACGTTTCCATTACGGCGTCGTCGAGCTTAGAGGGCTATACGCATGAGAAATATGCGGATTCAACCCGTTTTCGTCCTCGTGGAGCCGGGGCCTTAGTCTTCCCTGCTCTGATGACCTATTTTAACATAAGCTATACAAAGCACACACACACACACACACACACACACACACACACACACACACACACACACACACACACACACACACACACACACACACACACACACACACACACACACACACACACACACACACACACACACACACACACACACACACACACACACACACACACACACACACACACACACACACGTCAGCAGTATTGATCTGTGCAAACAAATATTCTAAGAGGGAGGAGCTAACCCTGGACTCACCTCAGACATTTAGCTATGAGGCATAACAACCTTTTCACATGATTGGTATTTCAATGACAAGATGAAAAGATAAGATATCAAATAGGTTTATCTAACATTCATCTCCTAAATATTGCTGGTATACTCAGTGTCACATATCAATTCAGAGCAAGGTCATTCCAGATGGTCCTGCTTCAATATAATCAATATGTAATCAAAAAGAAACAACTTATTCCTATTCAATAATCTACCAACAGGAGATATTCCAAAGATTACAGCTACAACACATCTTTAATATTGAACAATCACCATTATGTAGATTGTGTGATGAAGAAGAGGAAGAGCAGATGTTTTGGCTTTTCTACTGTCCATACGTTGCACGTCTGTTTGCCAAGATTCTAAATGAACTGAAGCCACCCAATATTGATTACAGTTACACCTTGCAACATTTGATTTGCGCTTCTGGAGGAAAATAGTCCAAAGATAATTAATACAATTATTTTTCTTAGTAAGATACATATTTTTCCAACTGAATCAAGGAGTGATCTGAATTTAGAAGTTTCAAAAAAAGATCGCAAAGACAGTTTCTTTTGGAAAAAAATATTGCAACAAACAATTCAAAAGTTCGTACAACATACAGTAAGATGAAATGGAAAACAATCAGCTCTAACAGAGAGTGGGACTGTATGGAATATTAAATATGCTTGTCTTTGTTTGTGTCTCCTGCCTTTACTAAATAGATACAGATAAATAATTACAAAAAAAGGCAAACCAATATCTAATATTCTTTACAATATTAAACTAACTTGTGTGTAAAGATATAAAACCAGCCTTAATAAAAACATGTCCACCAAATATTGTCCATGTTCTCCTGTAGAGCTGACAGCTGGATCTCATAACGCCCTCACTGTGCTGCAGCTATGTTTAGAAAATAACACACACATGTATGAGTGTGTTAGTCTATTTCTACCAACACCACTGTAATCTATTCTAGCTCACCGTTGGCCTGTTTAGACATGACACACACAGAGACTGTGTTACCAAGGCAACATGGTCACCATGACGACCAATTGGTCTGTTTTTTGAGTGGAGAGAAATAGAAAATGAGCGGAGAATCTGGTGCATGAACACAAAGAGTCAGTATCAATCGCAGTGTTCCCCACACATACCCGTCGTATTGTATCCTAACAGACAGCTGTATTTGCTGACCCAGTTTATTGTATGTTCTTATCAGAGAGCACAACATTGTCTGTGATTGATTATCCATCTCACAATCTGCCCATGCTCTACCCTTTCTGAACCTGTTCTTGTTGCTATTGCATCAAGAATCTATGACTATTACACTGCAGAGAAAAACAAGACGTAAAGGCATGCCCTCTGTTAATCACAGCGCCATGTTTCACTGCTGTAGAGTTCTCTCAGAAAACACACAACCTGAATCTAAATTCATCAACACAATAGCAAGAAGTACAGAAACGCATAAAACATGTCTTTGCTTTTAACACTCCTGTGTTTGTTTCTCCCTCCTCACTTCGGTGTTCCCAGTCAGTTTTGACCGATCTGTTTTAACTGCTCTTACATTAACACAAAAACATAAATCATCACCATAACCTTTTAAGCTGCTAACATGTTTTACATGAATAACTGCAGTGAAAAGAATAGACACTGAAAATGTATTAAAAAATGACCATGGTTGTCGATTTGTGGGTGTGTATCTGATGGAGAAACATAATCTCATTCATTTCCTATGGTGGTCAATTTTCGACATTGACTAAACCACTCAAAAATCAATGAAAGTGGTGATCAGCATTTTTGTTATGTTCAAATGCTTACTGTGGAGGATATCATAAGGCCTTGAGGCAATCAAATGTAAAACACAATAAAGGCTTAGAGAGTCATGTTCTATATCCTGAAACACAGCTACGCACAGCATCTGTCTTACATTGCAGCAGAAAGTCCCATGATAATGGGCCAATGACTTCACATAATAAGTCAGGGAGTATCCCTGTCCAGTGGCACAAGTGACATCATGGGTGAACGGATGATGATGCAGATGTTGTGGAAGGTTGTGTCATGTATTTTTCATCAACCACTGCAATACGTAAAAGATATTGTAGTTAAACAAGCCTCTCCTGCCAGTGATGCTGAATTGGATGCAGTCACCGGACATGGTGTGAACTAATCTGTGGATCTGTTCTGAGCCCACTGACATGGTGTTGGCTGATCCACAGTATAAGTAAAGAAACCTCTTTCAATTTGAAATGGGATTTATTGTGTGACTTTAATAAAGATTTATTGAAATACATTATGGATAATTAATT